CAACTTCCTTAAATGAAGAGCACCGAGGGCACGCCGATGCGGCTTTCCACGAGGACAGTCTAGCTTGTCCTCCCCGACCTCATCATACACACGAATCTTTGCTGGATTCACACCCCCAAGGTTTCACTCCTAGGGATGCAAGCCTGTGGCCACGTTGAGAAGTTCATTTGTAGAAACAGGCACACCTTAGTGCGCCTGTGATCTCCGCAAATGCTAGTTTTTGCTTCACTGGCCCACCTTTACCACCTAATCTTGGCTTTGACACTGTAAACATTTATCTTGTTTCATTTTATACGGATGTAGGTGCATTGTCTTAACCCCCTAATTAGATTCAAGTGTGATATAGCTAGCCTGTACTTCTCATCTATGAAGAGGGGATAATATTTCCAAGGGGTGTCCCTAGGATTACAAGAGTTAATAAATGTAGAGCCTGACAGAGTATGCATACAACAAACATTACTTCCAACCCTTCCTTCTCTTATAAATCCCAATATTTCACATTAGTGTCAGGAACAAAGAATTCCTTTAAAATTATACAAGAATCACAGGAAAGTAGGATATCTTGGACCTCGGAGGAAGTGTTGTTATAAAGTAGATCATTCCAAAACTGGACAGAAAGAGAAACTTGCATGTCTTCAATGAAAGATTTAAGGTTAAAACCATAAAATTGTTATATCTGAATTTCATACTAAACATCGTTGGTAGAGTTCAAAGCAGGTATCTATCCGGCTGCCTAATATTCAAGTTTCCCTAGTGCCGTAAGATATATTTTTTTAGGGGCGCCTGGGTGGCTTAGTCGTTAGGCATCTGCCTTTGGCTCAGGTCATGATCCCAGAGTCCTGGGATCGAGCCCCGCATCGAGTTCCTGCTCTCGCTATCGCTCTCTCTCTGTCAAATAAAATCTTTAAAATATATATATATATATATATATTTTTTTTAATTTACTATCCTGTTCCCACCCCTCCTCCAACTTTTTCAACGTTAAGCCCCAAGGATCTTGTGTGAGATCCCAGGCCTAAAAGCCTGGTCAATTACTGGAATACTTCTGGCTTTCACACCTTTTTCTACACAGTTATTAAATATCCACTGACATGTATTTCTTTACTCAAATTTTAACCTTTTCACTTCACCACTAACCTGCCGAAATATTACATATTATGCAAAAGAAAAAAAAAAGATGTGCCAAATAGTCGATTTAAAGATAACAAAAAGGAGGGTTGCAGCTAATTCCACGGTACTCTTCCTGGAGCCCCAAAAATCAGTGGTAAATGATGACACGGTAAACTGGTAAGCTTTTCATCATAAATTTCAAGAAAAGGAAAACTGTTGATATGGTTGATGTGGCATTGATAAGCAGTGATAGCTTTTGAAGTTAATGATTCCTGATTCTGTTTCTATACTCAAAAAAAGGATGGAAGGAACACTGAATACAATGAACTTCATACTTCAGGCTGGTCAAATTAGAAAATCAGATTTGAGTCATGGCTCTGTCCCTCACCAGCAGTGATCATGGGCATCTCATATGTAACCTTTTCAAGCCTCAGTCTTCTCATCTGTCAAATGCAAAGAGTAATAATATCTAACTCACAGACTTGCTGGAAGAATCATTAAGTAAAGTGAAAATATTCTGAAAACAATTTATAAGCTGTTCTTTGTTTCTTCTTATCATTATCCTCTGCTCCTAGCAACAATCCTAGGACTCATTCCAAACTAGTAACCTAATTTAAATTTAAGCTTCCTCCCTATGAAAATGCTCTACAGGAGGCTTCTTTCCCCAAAGGATTTTTCTTACTGGTCAAACTCAGCAAAGACCAAAATGCCAAGAAAAGTGAAAGGTGTTGCTGTTGTTGTTTTAAGATTTTATTTATTTATTTGACAGAGACACAGTGAGAGAGGGAACACAAGCAGGGGGAGTGGGAGAGGGAGAAGCAGGCCTCCCGCAGCAGGGAGTCCAATGCAGGGCTCCATCCCAGGACCCTGGGATCATGACCTGAGCCAAAGGCAGACACTTAATGACTGAGCCACCCAGGCGCCCCAAAAAGTGAAAGGTTAAAAAATCTATTATCTCTAGAATGTTCTCAATATATCCCATCATTATTCCCTCTATCATCTTTTTTTAGCTACCTTATTCAAGGATAGACTCTTGAAAGAAATATGTTGAAACTATTCACTTACCTCCCCTAAATTAATGGAGACCCATATAATGCAAAATACTCATTTCATATCCCAGGAGAAGCCTGTTTGGTAATATGTACAATTCCCATATTATTAACAATTTCCATTATATCCACCGGGGATTTGGGTTTGACACTCCATAAACATTAGTCATAGCAAAAGGTAAGGAGGAATTCCTCACTAATAAGAGAGTCCCTATAAAGCAGACTTTAATAAATAAAGCACCACTAGTCCCAGAAACCAACATACGTTCTGAAAAAGCATGTCCTATATTCACTGCATCAGTCTACATTAGCAAACAACTAGCACAACCACGATATCCATCAATATGAGACTTGTTATATATGCACCATTAAAAAGAATAAGCTCTAAAAAAGAGCTAAAAAAAAAGGCAGGTTGCAGAACAATATGTAAAGTATGCTACCATTCGTGTAAAAATGAATACTTTAAAAATGTATTTTTTTTGCATATATACAGAATACTTCTGGAAGAAAACACAATAAATTGGTAACAGTACTTGTTTAGGTGGCTGAGGTGCAAGGATGCACAAAAGATTTAAAGTTTTGTGTATCTTTGGAATTTTGTGCCATACACATATAGTACCTCCACACACACACACAATACATCTTTAGGCTTGATTTTTGGAATTCACATGGCAATATTAAATTGACCATTTTTATAATTTACTTATCCACAGCAGACAGCTTGAGGAGTCCACTAATTACTAAAAGCCCTATATCCAAAAAATATTCTAGAATAAAACCACAGAGTTTTGAAAAAATCAAAGTTGAGAGACGAGTTTAGCATAAAGATAGTCTTTTGATTTCAATTAAAACTGGTACTCTAAGAAAGACAAATACCATTATGATTTCACTTACATGTAGAATCTAAAAAACAAAACAAATGAATAAATAAAAAAGCAGAAAAATAAATACAGAGAACAAACTGGTGGTTGCCAGAGGGGAGTGGAGGTGGGGAGGAGGCGGGGTATGACCAAAAATTGGTGGAGAGTGGGAGGTGCATCTTCCGGTTATGGAATGAGTAAGTCACAGGGTTGAGAGGTACAGCATAGGGAATACAGTCAATGGTATTGTAAGAGCGTTGTATGGTGACAGATGGTAGCTACACTTGTGAGCACAGCATAACTTAAAGAGTTATTGAATCACTATGTTGTAAACCTGAAACTAATGTAACATTGTGTCAACTATACTTCAAATAAAAAAAAATAAAAAATAAAAAAAAACTAGGGGCGCCTGGGTGGCTGAAATGGTTAAGCGTCTGCCTTCGGCTCAGGTCATGATCTCAGAGTCCTGGGATCAAGCCCCGTGTCAGGCTCCCAGCTCACTGGGGAGTCTCCTCCCTCTCCCTCTGCCTCTGCTGCTCCTCCTTGTGCTCTCTCTCTCTCAAATAAATAAAATCTTAAAAAAAAACTGGTACTCTAGTGTCAAGTTTGCCCTTCCATTATAAGCCAAACTTACTAAGTAATATTTATTAAACACTTAACTATGTATCTGACACTGAGCTAAGTACATATTTAGTGATTCTTATTAAGATAAAAATTTGTTCACTTCCAATTTTTTTGAATAAATTTTATAAAACTTTTTTCATATTTATTGTTAATATTATTTAGAATCCCCAGAAATGAAATAGCGGAGTTAAAAGATTTTTAAGTTGGGCACCTGGGTGGCTCAGTTGGTTAAGCGGCTGCTTTCGGCTCAGGTCATGATCCCAGTGTCCTGGGATCGAGCCCCGCATCGGCTGCCTGCTCAGCAAGGAGTCTGCTTCTCCCTCTCCCACTCCCCCTGCTTGTGTTCCCTCTCTCACTGTCTCTCTGTCAAATAAATCAATAAAAAATCTTTAAAAAAAAAAAGGTTTTTAAGTTTTTTTAAAAGGCTGAAAAGAGTTGTTTTCTTTTTTAAAGAAAATTCTTATTACTGCCTGGCCCTTTTATATCTGGTGACCTATTTTCCCCTATTATATTACTTTCCTACTTTCCTAATTTAAATGTAGAGATTTTTAAATAAATAGATTCTCAGTGATAGCCATTTACAGCTTTCAACTTCGTCCCTCATTTCTACAATCTGATGATATGTATCAGGCCTCCAATTTGTTAATGCCTTTTTGGAATCCAGTCCAGAAAAATATCTGGCTATAATATCTTATGCTATCCTTACCACCATTCTATCATGTTTCTAACGGGAAGTTATCAATCTTAAAATCCCACTATACCTTCTCCTAAATAAAATTTAAGCAAAGGTTCAATATTCTTCCCATA